GTACAGTCTCGAAAGGACACAATGTGCCCACAGAGACATCCCTTTCAACGATCACCTGTTCGTCTGAACAGTTGATCAGACGTATTGGGACCACCCCTCCCTTCGGGGAAGTGATCGTGTACGCCGCCAAAACCCCAAACTCCTCTCCTAGGCTCGGATCAGGTTCGGTTAGGTAGCCTTGACCCGGGTTAATTCCCAGGTCGCTCGGTAAAGACGCCCATGCCACCATCTCGTGTTGAGGTGGTATTGTCACACGCTTCCGTAAGGACAGAGGTATCCGTTCTGGTTTGACGGTATGAACCGTGGCCTTGTCTGCTGAAAAATTCAGATTTTGTCCATCAGACTGTATCTTGCAGGGAATTTTCGCCAGAACATCACGTCCCAACAAACATTCTTGATGCAAATGGTTTACAATCCATATTTCGTGCAAGCACGTAGCCTGTCCAATCTCCAGTGTTACAATACTGGTTCCAACAATCTGGAGAGCATCCCCTCCAGCGCCAAATACCGGGTTATCCGGAGGAGGGAGTATATCCTCCTGCTCGATATCGAATTCGCCTAATCGTCGTGCCGCAAGCAAGCTTACTGACGCACCTGTGTCCACCAACATGTGGATTTTCCGTCCGTTAAGCAACCCTGGCACCGTCATACCTGAGGTCTCCCGTTTCCGGGAACCACCGGCGGATGGGCCTGGTTTGGGATCTGGGCAATGTGCGGCCAAGGGCTGATCCCGCGCCCCGGTCACTGTCCGTTTCCCGCCTGGTGTCGGTTTGGTGCACCACCCCGTGTTCTGTTAGAACACTCATATGCCTTATGGCCCTTCTCCCCACATGTAAAGCACGACCCCATAAATGGTCCGCGTGCTCGGTTTCCTCGGTTTTCCATGCGATCTAGCCTTTCGGCCAGTTGGTCCAGAGTACGTGACATACGACTCCAGGGTTCCTCCCGGGTTGCCGCAGCCACTAACATAGGAGGGTTATCTTCCTCCAATATCCTAGCATGACGGGGTATACCCATGTCGTGTGAATCCCACACCCTTTCGAGGTGTAGTGCCTGCTGTTCAGCCGCCTGTACGGTGACTGGAGCTAATTCTAGGAGCCTCGTTCTGAGCCTGGCCGGTGTCATGGCCTCGATGAACTGGTCGCGGACCAGTTCCTCCCTCAAGTCCTCTGTGGCTGTCGGGTAAGCCCGAGTCACCAGCTTACGTAATTCGTCCGTGACTAACGGAATGGCTTCGCCTGGGCCTCGTCTCAGAGCTCTAAACTGCGATTTATACTTCGCAGCTTCACTTGCCGGCGCAAAGCGCTTTCCCATGTCTTCGCACAGGTGTTGCCAGTTTGACTGGCGGCCCGTCTCCATAGTGGAAAAAAATCGTGAAGGTGTCCCTCTCAGACGCACCCCCAAGAACATAGCCTTTTGCTGATCTTCCCATTGGTTGAGCTCAGCGCAAGATTTGAAGTACGCAAGGTACTCCGGCCATTCCCGGGTCACCCCATCGAATGCCTCAGGCATAATGACGGGTTTCTCCGGACGTGGTTTTGGAGCAGGTAGGGATCTCTCCCTTCCCGCCAGAGCCTGGCTTGAAGCCTGTTGTTCTACCTGTTCACCGTCAGACATGGTCTTTCAGTAGAGTAGGTCACAACAAAAGAAAGTAGCGCCTGCAGAAGATCTGCTCAATGGTTGCCTCTCAGGTATCCCGAAGGAATGATACCCTTCTGCCCAAAAACTTGGCCTTATATCCCGCTGATCCCGTGCCACGTCCACTGACCTCGTCCGGTACGGGACGATGGGCTCGAGGTCAGCTAGGGGTACCCACGCCTGGGCAGTGCGCCGTGCACTGCGCTCCCATATCTCATGCCTTGTCCACCGTATACGCGTACGCCAATCCTTACAGCTGCTCGCCACGTGACAGTCTCTTCAGAGATATGCACGTCAACCCCTGTGCCTCTCGGTTTTCAAACGCGCCATGTCGCATTTGAAACCGTGTTGCCTCCCAATTCGTTCTCAACCGCACCATGGCGCGCCTGAAGCCGTTTAATTCCTGTGGTTTTGGACGATAAGTCCACTCGTACACGACGTCCCCCTCAACCGGGCTCAGACTCGACCAGAGTGCCTTCTCTCCAATGTGTCCAGTATACTCGTACGACGCCCCCCTCAACCGGGCTCAGGGTCGACCAGAGTTCCTTTTCCCCTACAGTTGGATGCCTAGCACACTCGTACACGACGCCCCCCTCAACCGGGCTCAGGGTCGATCATAGTGGCCTCTTTCCAAAACGATTTCAAAACGCACCGTGGCGCGCCTGAATCCGTTCAATCCCTCCATCCTTGGATGTCTAGTACACTCGTACACGACGCCCCTCTCATCTCAGGCTCGACCAGAGTGCCTTCTTTCCTAGTCTGGTACACTCGTACACGACGTTCCCCTTCAGCCGGGCTTAGATTCGCCCCGAGTGACCTGACCCGAAAGCTGCCGAGTGATCCTTTTACTTAGTGAGGATCTCCCGGCCCATTGCCTTAGTCCTGTGTGTCCTATTTCGACCAGGAGCACTGATTAGTTCAATTCCTTCCAGTTTTCTTTGGATACTTGGGTCACTCGGCGTTTCCGCTGAGTGTCCCTGAGCCTGCCGTCTCTAGGACTTGTCATCTCCCTTCCGTGCCTCCCGATACACCGTCCTAAGCCGGTACATGTAGTGTGTTTTACCCGCGTGTGTTGCAACACTTCTCACACATTACACCAGCTGGCGTTCTCGTCAGCCTGTGTGTCCTCTCTTGAATATGCTGTGTCTTAGCCTTGCCTGACTAGAGGACAGCATCTCCATTCATTTCCAGAAAGAAAAGTGAACAACGACCACTTTCATTCTAGTGACTGCATGACCATGAAGAAGTAGTTCAAACTGCAGCTCCTGATATACCACCGGTGATGGCACTGTGTAAAAATATGTTACACACCTATACCCGTTCTTACCGCTGAACCAGCGTGACTCCAGAGACCCAACCCTGTATGTCAATGTGACTGCCGATTATTTATATCCCGAACCAGCCCTCTTGCGAGTACACTACTTGTCGGTTCTAGATATATGCCCAGGTTCCTTGCTTCACGTATCAAAGGCTTATACATGCCGCCAGGTTCTGACCAAACAATCTCAAAAAAATGAGACTTCCCCACAGTGTCGGTCTTAGCCTCCATTCCTCACCATACACGCGATCAGAGCGCAGTCAGGTTTAGATAACAATACTTTTATTGAATTTATATCTGGTCCAATAAAAGTGGCCGCACATTACTGTGGCGCAGACTTGTCGGGGGTAGTCGGCAAGTCTGTAGGCAGTTCCGTGTCGGTACTCTGGTCCTTCTTCGCACTAGGAGACGCCTTGTCCTTCTTAGGCGGCTTACGTGAGTTTTTACGAGTTTTCTTTCTCGGTGGCTCTTCCGACTCCTCTGTGCGGTGACCGGCATGCCGGCCCAATATCCTGAATGATATCAACGACAGGAAGTCCAGGTCCTCCTTTAGTTTTCGCAAGTGTCGCCCTTGGTCGGGGCGACCCACGCCTTCAAACAAAGAAATCGCCCGTTCCAAGGCCTGCCTGGTTGGAGTCTCCCGCCCCTGGCCTGCTTCTTGCGAAAGGGCGTTGAACTCCTCTAGCATTTCCTGTGCCATTCTGGATAAGACAAAAAAAGCCACACCAGAAAAAGAACCGAGGATTAGTTCACATTGAGTGACGGATCCTGGTCACAGCACCAATTGTCATGACCCGACCCCAAGGGTCAGTCAAAAGCCTGCGTTGCGAACAACACCAAATAGGACCGCCACGAAGTGTGAGCAAGACCCAGAATCCCAAGTGCACAATATATGCACGCCATCACTCAACAGCCCACCAAGAGTTCCGTTTCCAAGGACATACCTTGTAGGTAGGTCAGAGGTAAAGAGGAGAAAGAGGAGATCAAGATTGAAGCAGTACCGGAGCGAGAGGACGAACGTATAAAAGACAGGGACTTATATTCATAACAATAACTAACAACAACCAATCAGAGCACACATACTGTACTCACTAATCATATTAGACGGCGGGACAAGGGGACAAGTAACGGACAAAGCTAGATTCATAATGATTGAACGTCTCATAACGGCGGGATACAACATGCAAGAATGGAAGAAGATACTAGTTAATAGACTATGACAGTTGACAAGGCGCGAGATTATGCAGCATCGTAGTAGTTGTATGATTATGTACAATGTAGTATTAAAGTGCGTATAAAGGCTACGTAGTAGTAATGTCTAATGATGTAGTGAGTAGTAATGACGTAGTGAATAGAAAAGATGCGGTAAGTTACCGTACTGTGCACATGCGGTGCTGGCGCGACTCGTACCCGTCAGTCAGCTGAGCGCTTGTCAGCTGGTGCTGGCCCCTCGTCTGCCAGATTGCTAGGATGGCTGTGCGTCGTCGACCTCGGGTCACGACACTGCTATTTTGGAACAAAATCCGACCAGGCCAGAGACAATGCACATCCACGCTACTGTCGATCCTGCTTGGGCTGCAGGCTGGTTTGTTGTTCTATTTCACAAAGCGAGCGGACTCTTGTAGGCCCAATCACACGGAAGGGAATTATTTGCATGGCAGACTGCGAATGATCTCAGCGGTATGAAGAAATGAGGGAGCTGCTTGGGTCCTGGGAGCCTACTGGGAACACAGCTGAGAACGGAAATAGTCCAACAATTTCACATTGATTGGCAGAGAACTGCTCAACGCCACTGGGAAAATTATGCGGAAACAGAACAATCATGTGACTGCGGGCAGAGAACTACAATGTACAGTGTAGTGGATCGCGTAGCCCACCCAGCAACCGGCGTCTGCAATCGAGTTTGTCAGCCAAGATCATGGTACATATATGGTAGGCCTGTCACAGTAGACCATGCTAGACTGCCCGGCAATGGCGACATGTCCCGAGCCTACACACATGCATGCCCATACCGTGACACACCCAGAAGACCTAATTTACTTACCTGTGTTTCGAAGGGGTAGGAGAATACTGGCAAAAGTGGCGCAGGATCGAAGCACACACCCGCACGGATGCTCAGTGCAAGAGATGATGAACAGCTTCTGTGACGGAACGACTTACTGGAGAAACTGAGGGCTTAGAGCAAGAAGAGAATGAACAAGTCCTTGACTGGTCGCAGCAGTTTTGTGTTTTCGGGCTAGTGCGACAAGCATAAGGGTGTGTACCATGGTACCATGTGTATCGGTACATCGAAGTACAAATACCGGTATACTACAATGCCATATATAGCTGAGAAGTTACAGGTAGGACTCCGGCTCCCAGCAGGTCACAACAATACATGTGTTGATTTTGTGCATTTTCGGGTACTGTAGTATATTGGTACACATCAGGGTGCAGAAGTGTAGCGTGCCTAGAACCAGGGAGTAGTACAATACCGGTATTGTACGAGCTACTCCCTGCCTATAGAGGTTATGCGATACACGTCATTGCCGCCCCAAAGTCTTCTATATAAGGGGTCTCTGTACCCGCTTTGGGCATTTTGCCACCCCAACTGGCTCCTATATATGACGGATTTGACGTTATCGCTTAACCTCCATAACCATAACTTCTCAGTCAAGCACCTAATATGGCATAATCATACACACTTGAGAGGAATCCAAACAGCGTTTCTGCTGTAACTCTGAGTTTCACGGTTTTTAACCGATCATCAGACAGCAACTTACTTGACTACAGTTCAGAAGATATTATAATTTTATATTATGATTGATGGCAAGAATATACTCGTGTTGATAGGCTATGGCATAATGGCAGATACATGTACATGTATGGCATACTGGCATATTTATGGCATAACAACAAAGAAGGCCTTTAGGCCTGTGGGAATGCCCTATTAAAAATTAAAAAAAACAAAAAAAACAAATTGTACAGTACATGTACTTCGATGTGCCGGTATGCGCGGTACGCGGTACGCACCCTTATGCTTGTAGTTGCATATATGGGTACGACTTGCACCAAAAAGGATACGCTCGGATTGCATCCATGTTGGCCGATAAGAGGTCCGAGCCTTTCTCTATCGTCATGGCATACATCCGCACTCAACTGTCTTTTGCGCTGGTCAATGCCGCAGTCACAGCCCTGAGAGGTCATCGGCACAAAGCGTCAAGAATCAACGGCTGCCCTTCGATCACGTTAGCAGTGGCAGAATGCAGCATGTAATGGTCAATCCTTGACTTAATTTGGTAATCGTTTTAGTACCTCGAACCCCGTGCTGAGTTTGATACGGTTTCTGGTATCTTGGCCGTAGACTACTACGCATACTGCTTCTAGCGGTTTCTTTGGATTTTACTGATTGATTACTACTCGTACAGTCCATTCATAAAAAGATGGGTCCTGGCTCTGGCGAGCTCCCGTATTTGGCGATTTTTCGTGATTTCATCGTACACAGTGCAGTGCTGCGAACTTTGAAATTTGAAAAAGGGTCCAAAAAGGGTGCCTGAACTGGGGTTCGAACCGCAGAATGCACTGTTGCAGGCGGGGTCAAACGGCCTGGATTTTGATGGTTTTTCCCAATTCAGTGCTTTTGGGGCAAAACCTGGCCGAAATCCTATTCTTGCTATGGCTTGCTTTTTGGACAAAAAAACTTCAGAAACATAATTGGAAGAGGATTCCATATGGGATTGCAGAAAAAAAATTCTAAAAAAACTCAACGTTTGACCCATTTATGGCCAAAAGCTAGAAGTTCATTTTTTTCTGAATGGACTGTAGTATGGTACTGTATTTATTTATTGCGTACCGATAAGGCGATATACAGTACTACAGTACGAAAATGCACAAAATCAACACCGCGTACCGATCATCAAGCTGGCTGACATGCCGTCCAATCAAGCGTCATGGCCTGATTCTGCGCAAGCAGGCCTTTCGCGACGGTATTCTCGCTACAACACTCCTTTTTATCTTGCCCGACAGGAGGTTGTCCTGCTATTCGGCACAACGAGCTGCGAGACGCCACTGCTAGCCTACAACTTTCATTCCTTTCAAGATAGCCATCGAGAGCAGGCAGGTCCTCACTCAGTCATGTACAGCTGTTAGTGTAGTTACTGTTTGACAGGAATGGCTACGGATATGGAAGGTTATATCATCTGCGAAGAGTTTGTTAGATGAATGCCTGAAGCATTGTGGTGCAGTGTGAGCATCATGAGCACGAAGAGTAAAGCGGTCTTGTAGGAGAGAGCAAGCAAGGCCATTCAGGCAGCGATACACAAATACATAGGTCTTGAAATTGAGGCGTTGTTCAAGGGAGTATACATTGGTGTTAGAGAAGGGCAGTTGGGATCATTCTATCCAAGGGAAAAATTCTCTTTATCGCTAAGCGGCTGGCAGCAAGAAGTTTGTTATAAAGAGCTTGCGACAAACAGTGTACAGTCATGTACATATGCGGTGCTGTCATACTCAGTAGTAGACTGAATCATTATAGAGAGGTGGAACAGTCGCTTGCCAAAGTACCGATATTCTGTTTTGCGTGCTGTGGGTACGTGAAGTGTGTGGGTACCGTGAGGGCTGCGTCTCACCCGCCTGTGTGGATTCACAGGAAGTGTCACTGTGTGAGTTACGAAGTCAGAAGAGGATGTTGAACGGTCTCTGCTGGGATGACGACTACACCATAGCTGAGTGGTTAGAGCATCGCTGGCTACAAGTGAGGGTCCCTGGTTCGAGTCTTGATGGTGACAGTCATTGTTTTCTTCAGACTTTTCCCGTTTGTCTCTTTCCCTCAAACCAAGATCTTAAGAGTACATAACCTGGGGGTTTTGTACTCTTGCTCAAACTAATCAAGATAATAATTCTGTTTTGCATGCACAAAGGCTCCTACTTTCCCTACTGTACACACCACTGCTACTTGGTCAGAAAAGGATAGATGCTCATCAACTAATATTCCTAAATTGCGAGCGGAAGCAGAGGGGGCTTGATAGGGGTATCACGACAGAGAACTGCAGCACCAGGTGGCAGCTCTTTACCAGGGCGGCGAAGTATTAAAACCTGGGTCTTAGATGGATTCAATAAAAGTCCTTTCCTTTCAAGATAGCCATCGAGAGCACCCAGGTCCTCACTCAGTCGAGTAGGTACTGTTTGACAGGAATGCCTACGGATATGGAAGGTTATATCATCTGCGAAGAGTTTGTTGGATGAATACCTGAAGCATTGTGGTGCATCGCGGATGTATATACAAAAGAGCAGTGGCCCAAGTGCAGAGCCTTGAGGGACGCCTCTTGTGCATGGGCGGGCATCACCAAGTAGTTCCTGTCCCACTCAAACTCTCTGAACGCGGTTTGTTGTTGTTTCTTTATTTTACTTCACCATATGAACAGGCAAGACTGCCTTCTCACCGGGGCTATTGGCCCACGGCTCTCACAGTATGATGAAAATGTTTAAAATTTGTATGAAGAAGAAAGGAACGGAAAAGAAGATGAAATGAAAGGAAAGAAAACAGTAGGTATTAATTTTATGAAGGGGGGGAGGGGGAGGTATGAAATGGGTATTATCATAGTTGATGAGAGAAGTATGATATCCAATATTCTTGTTCTATAGACTATTTAGTACGGGCATTTCATGAGAGTCATGCATGGGCAAGGCAGGAGTTGGACTAGGATAGAGGACAAGAACATAATTGATGAGCATTTGTTCAGGCAGAATCTGTGAAGAAGACATAGTAGGCACAACATCGGAGAGCTAGTTGAGGAGGGAGGTAAGGTCATAGCCAGACAGCAATGCTTGAAACGTGTAGCGTACGTCGCAAGCGCAAATATCAGCAGGGAGAGAGAGTTCCATGTGGTACTGCCAACAAAGGCGATAGAGCTACGGCCTCAGTGAGGGACCAGGTAGGAACGGCACTCTGAGCAGCTGGCTGACCTGACCACGCGTGACACAACTTCTGTCCGCATCCGTGGCAATGCGGGAGTAGTAGGATTGGAACAGTGAGCTGGCTCTGCCATGAAGGCAGCGGAAGACGAAGAGAAGCAGACGTTGCACGTACAGCTGGTGGAGCTGAGGCATTGATAGTCTGGCAAATAGGGGAGCAGTGGGAGTCCTTCTGGGGAGTTGGAAGATGGCTCGTATGCCAGACTTAGCAATGCGTAGCAGTCGATGCAGCAGCAGTTTGGATAGAGCGGGAAAGAAACAGTTTGAGGCATAGCAGAGCACAGACTGGATCATACTCATGTACCAGGCCCGGCGGGCATTGAGTGAAAGGCACCGTCCATGGCGCCAGAGCTGCCCGATTGTAGTAGCAGTCTTGCTGGCAATAAAGTCCACTTGGGGCTTCCAGGACAGTTGGTCATCAAGCATGACACCGAGATACTTCGTGACTGGAGTAACATCAAGCACTGTGGTACCACACTTCACTTCAGATGGTCCGTCCAGACAACCACGGGGTCTCACAAACATAACTTGGGTTTTACTGGCATTTAATAGCAGACCAATGTTGTCCAAGTACTCAGCGAGTCGTGTTACAGCGTTAGAGAGAACAGAGCACACTAAATCAGGCTGATAATCGGAGTAGTCCAGAGCCACATCATCAGCGAATTCCTGGTGGCATACACTACCTGGTAGAACTGACGACATATCACTGGTGTACAGTACAAAAAGAAGAGGGCCCAGAACGCTGCCTTGAGGCACTCCTCGGGAGCATCCAACATATTGCGAAACTGAGTGTTCCACCCGTACACACTGCTGCCGCTCCGAGAGATAACTGAGGAACCATTCCAGTGGTGTGTCACAAATGCCAAGGTCAAACAGCACTTGCACAAGCCTGGCATGCTGGACTCTATCAAATGCCTTCGATAGATCTACCATTACTACCCCGGTGTGTTTTCGTTCCGATTTGGCCAATTTCCAGTGGTTGGAGGCAAGGATAAGAGCATCTTCTGTTGAGTGATTTCTTCGGTATGCAAATTGACTTGAAGGTAACAAGGAGTGATCATCTAGGAAAGTTGTCAGCTGTTTCTTGACAAAGTGTTCCAGTATGCAGTCATGTTCAGTGTAGCTGTTTAGAGACGGACAATCGGGAGGATTCTGTTCCAACTTGGCCTGAAGCCTTCTGTCGAACTGGGCATAGTCAATACTGGAAATGCCCGGCGTTCGAACGAGGCGATAGCTATGCTCAGGTGGGGGGGGGGGGGCAGTCTGCTAACTGAAGTACCACTTTGACTAGGTGGCGATCAGTAGCATCGTGCAGGGACGTGGCGGATACATGGCCGACTGTTAGGACATCTTCAGTACTAGGGCTAAGTCGAGACCGGTGTTGGACGGGGTTCGTGTAACCACATTAACGACATTCGACAAACAGTGGCTGGAGCAAAGCTCTTGCAGGTGGGTGTTGTTGTGTGATCGGGGCTTTGTAGTGGAGCCGGGTCTCCAACCGTTATCCGGAGAGCGGTTTCGCCACCGCACCGCAATCCGAGAGGACGACGCTCGCCTTGTTGTTGCGGCCAGCGGAGTGTGGGGTGGCCGGTTTGAGCGAGCCTATTTTGATGTTCCGGTGTTCAACCCTTTGGCTAGCTCAAATCAGGCTCACTCTCTCTCTGCTACATATGCCAAGCACGAAGGTGAGAAGCGCCGACAATGCGAGGAGCGTGTGCGGGAGGTCGAACATGCAGTGTTTGTACCACTCCTGTTCAGCGCCACTGGAGGGTAGGGAAAGGCCGCCAGCGCACTTTACAAGCGCCTCGCCACAATGCTTTACGAAAAGCGGAAGGAGGCGTTTTCGGTCATGATGGCCTGGATGAAGTGTCGGCTTGTCTTTGCGCTGAATCGCTCGACCATTGCGTGCCTCAGAGGTCACCGCAGTCGCCCTCACACTCTACCATCGACGGGCTCCGCATCACGGATGGTCTCCGAGTGCTGCTTGCCTGGCTAACCTTGGACATCCTGCATGGCACATTCATGTAGCCGTAGTTCTCAACATTCTTGTCACGTGATCTTTAGTTGAGCTTGTCTTACACAGTGTAGCTATACCTGTAGTATTTTCCTGCACCACAAGAATTCTTGTTTATTTTACCCGTAGAGGAGGCTTTTGAGGAAAAAAAACTAAAACCTAAATCAACACTGACTAGGCATATGCGGATAATGCCGGCAGAAAAATTGGCAGAATTCGTTACTTTTTCTGGTAAGTTTCATGCATGTTTGGTACTGACACAAAGCTTTATTCATAATTATGGTGGTAAACACGCACCTGGCAATATGGCGGTAAAACACGCCGGACAGTAATTATACAACAGGAAGAAAGGAGATAAATGGCTGTATATACAGTCTAATGTCGAGCCAGACGCGCCTCAGCCTGCCAAGACAAGGTCGACAGGCGCGAGGTCGAAGCGACGACGGCGAACAGAGCGCGATCCACGGAAGCAACGGATGGCAGATCTGGCAAGAGAAAATGCCAAGCAGCACCGCAGCCAAGCTACAACCCGGCTATACGCAGCGTTGCGTGTGGCGGCCAAGCCATGCGCCAGCCTCTTGACTACTACGGCTGCTTCGGAGCCCATCCCACCATGTTTGGTATGTGGGTAAAGAAATGGAGCAGAATTCAGAATTCGAGGAATAGCCCGCCATAAGGTTTGTATAGTTCTGCCAATTTCACTGCTTTTCGAGCAGAATCTGCCAATGCCTAACACTGACATGTATTGTGACCAGGGAGCCGGAGTCGTATTTTAAGACTCCCTGTTTGTGACATACGAATATTACGATTGTTCTCTGAGTGATAGGGAGAACCTACATGACTTTTGTACATGATTGTACTACATGTGCTGCGCTATCATGCACATGCACATGCTGAATCACGTTGAATCTTTCCGGAGTCCGGACTATACATTGTCGTCTGTAGACCTGTCTCTGCACGTGCACTCCTCCTACTGATTGTGCGCGTGCGTGCGTGGCGGTCTACTGTCATGTTCGAGCAAATCACCGCACCACCATTCATGCGGAGGAAACGCGCCGTGGGCGCTGCCATCCAACGCCGCGTCGTTTCGTGAGTCGTGTGGGTGTTGTTGAGTGAATTCAGTTGAATTGGTTTCGGCGCACTGTGCTCTGTAGTTTGTTTGCCTGGCCGCCTAGCTTCGTCGCAACTACCAGACACTCGCTCAGTTGATTGCTAGCAGATTACTCGCGCAAGCATCATCATGAAGGTTTGGATCGCTGCCCTGTGCGGAGCACTGCTAGTGCACAGCACCGCTGCCTTCCTCTTCTACCAGCCACGAGTTCCGAATGCCGGCGACCGAAGCAAAAACGTGTCGTCACGCGTACCTGCACCATACGGTATCTCGAACACGTAAGTCAGACTCTTTAAAGCTTTGTGACTAGTCTAGTTGGACGGTTATGCCTGCAGGTGTATCTTGTCCCATCCTCTTTAGACGCCAGCCCTGGTAGAAAGGGTAAATAGTAACTTCCTACGAAGCTGGATCATTATAATCAGAGTCCAAACGTCGGCACCATCCTCAAACTACTTGTAGTTTTAGCAGTGGTCGAGCGAGATGTATCCCTGCTCGAAGTCGATAAAAGTCGCTACAAAGTGCTCACGTTATAGCAAACTTTGGCGATTGGCGAATGTTCAGAGACGGACTTTATGCCCGAGTTGTGATAGTAGTGTGTGAGGGTGAGTATTCGCAGTGTACCTCAGCCGTGCGCCCAATAATCGAGGCAGCCGTGCCACAGCTTGCTGCTGATAGCACGCGAACGGCTGCGAGCCGGCCAGATGCAGCTGAGGAGTTGGCCGGGGTCGAATTGGCGGATGAGGAATCGTCCGGAGTGGCAGTGGAGCGGAACTCAGTAACTAACATCAACAACGTGGAAGCTATGCCGCTGGATTCTGGGTCAGTGGATACTGGCTCAGCTGACCGGGAGCGCAGTGATGTTTTTTTGCTAAATGGGGGTGATGCGTCAGAGATTTGGCTCCCACTGCGTCCGCGGCGTTGGTTGGTTGGTATATTTTATTTTACTTCGCCAGAATGAACAGGCATTGCTGCCTTCTTGCCTGGACAAATGGATTGTCCAAGCTCTCACAAAAGACGAAGAAAGGAAAGAAATATTACATGAAAGTGTTAAGCATGCAATCTTATAAGAGAAAATTCCATGAGAGTGTGACGCATGCATGATGAGAGAGGAGAGAGAGAGATAGATAGATAGAGAGAGAGAGAGAGAGAGAGAGAGAGAGAAAGAAAGAGAGAGGGGAAGAGAGAGAGAGAAAGAGGAGAGATAGAGATAGACTGCTTTATTGCCTGGACAAGTGAATTGTCCAAGCTCTCACAAAATGACCAACAACAACAACAGCAACAACAACGACGACAGCGGCAACAACAACAGGCCACAACAACAGCAACGCCAACAACAACAGCAACGCCAACAACACAGCAGCAGCAACAACAACAACAACAACAACAACAACAACAACAACAACAACAACAACAACAACAACAACAGCAACAACAACAGCAACAACACTAGAGAGAGAGAGAGAGAGTGAGAGAGAGAGAGAGAGAGAGAGAGAGAGAGAGAGAGAGAGAGAGAGAGAGAGAGAGAGAGAGAGAGAGAGAGAGAGAGAAAGAGGAGAGAGACGGCTTTACTACCTGGACAAGGGAATTGTACAAGCTGTCACAAAATGACCAACAGCAACAACAACAGTCACACAGTCAACAATTAAACCGCTGATGAGTCTCTCACCTCATCATGGCTTCCGCCTCGGCCACCGTCAGCTTCAATGGAAATGCCGTCACGTGATGCTAGCGTTAGCGAGGTTGTGATGGAGACTCGCCAGCGTTTAAGAGAAGGCAAGAAGAAGAGAGCCGCTAGGGGCATAGAGATCCTGGCAACAGTACATGATGACCTGACACCAGACCAGCGATTCTTGGTGGATATAGCTGGTGAGAAGGGCGTGTTCTCCTGGCTGACTGTTGAACCAAGGTCCGCCCATGGCACAACACTCAACAAATCAGATTTTGGAGATGCTGTGGCGCTTCGGTACGGTCTACTGCTTGATGGTCTTCCAACGAACTGTGTATGCGGAGCTAACTTGTCGACTGACCATGCCATGGTGTGCCCTTGTGGGGGCTATCCCACCGCAAGGCATAATGAGATACGTGATCTCATCGCTGAGCTACTCAGAAGTGTAAGTCCAGATGTGGCAATCGAGCCCAACCTTCTTCCATTTGGTGGTGAGACATTGGCATGGTCAACAGCTAACCGATCCCAGGAAGCGCGGCTGGACGTCAGGGCTCGTGGCTTTTGGACGCGGCAGCAGGAGGCCTTCTTCGATATCCGGGTAACGCATCCCAGGGCCACCGTGCTGTCTCGTGAAAAAGCCATGAGCCAATTGGAGCGCAATGAGCGGGAAAAAAGCGGCATTACGCAGAGCGAGTGAATCAGATCGATCGAGGCACATTCACCCCTCTGGTATTTGTGACCAACGGCATGATAGGCAAGGAGTGTTCCGTGTTTTTGAAGGCATTGGTTGGCCGTATTCTAGAGAAAAATGTTGATTTGGTGTATTCTGTTGTTGTCAATCATTTGCGATGCCGTTTGTCATTCTGCCTACTTCGCTGGTGTATCACCTGTTTACGTTGCTCTAGGTCCTCCTGTCGCTCTAAGCGCTCGGCGAGCTTTGTGAATGACTGCCGTGTGCTCTCTAGGGCATAGTTTCTCTTTGTCATGATCTCGTATAATGGTGAAAATGTGATCTAAAGTTTGTTTTCCGGTGTCCTGAAGTTCTTCTTTTGTATGAATCTCAATTCTATGGTTTCATTTCTGGCGGTGTTCAAGCAGTTTTGGTTTGGAAGTTTTTCTTTCCTTTCCTTCCCCTTTTTCATGTATAAACATTGCTTCAAAATTTTGAAGGACGCTTCACGCAGCTTCATTATACTTGAATCGTTTGCAGGCAACCTGCCTACACTCAAGAGAGCACTGCATTTCACACAAATCCATTAGGGTATCGTTTCAACGTTTCGGTCTTCATGACCATCATCAGGAATGAAGTGAACATGGAAAAAACAGCTGTATAAAAGAAGGAAGCAAAGCGCGGTACCTAGTGACAGCTCGCGTAGAGAAGTGCAAAGCACGTCGTGGCGAGTGCATTGCTACGTATATACATGACAACACAAGCACAAACGGCGAGGAAAGTAGATAGTGCGCTACAGCATTGATACAAGCACAGTTCCAGTGTCACACCTCCAGTGAGGTGTGTAGAGCTCCGAGCCACTCGCAATAAATAACAGCTTTATTCAATGCCGGCAGATCGCACATGTCAGTGCCACAACATCCCTGAAGGTAGCTGAGTAAGAGAGATTATAGAGACCATGGTAGAATGTGGAAGAGCATACTCCTTAAAAAGTGGTAGCCAAGGTACGTGAAGGCATGCATTGCCCACACACATGTGCCGAGTGTATCACCCAGAACGCATGCTAGAAGCCAATATGGGCTCACAGGTGGTGTTATATCAGGTCCCAACCACTGTTGTTGTTGATTTCCGGGGATCGCTCCCTGATGTTGATGGCCTTTCGGATCCTCCTCCTGGGGCGGTCACGCTCAGAACCAAGAACCCGGATACCCGAGAAGGCCGTTGCTCCCAATGGCAATGGTTCAGATGCATGCTTAGCTGTAAAATGCTCACCCAGCGCGGTGCCGCTCACTGTGTTGCGTGCGTCGTCGTTGTGCTCTCTTGTCCTAGTGGCGAGGCTGCGGTAAGTCTCTCCGACATATCCATCACCACACTTGCACTCGAGGTGGTATACGACGTTTCGCTCTGTGCATGCTTCTGAATCGGACATGCAGGCGACACAAGCAGCCTTGGGCCGCCCCCGTTTACGGGGCTTGGACGGGTCTACATACCTGCGGCATGGTGGTTTGCGGAGGGCAGACGTGCAAATCATAGAACTTAGACGGCGGTTCCTGTAGATCAGCTGGGCATTTATCTTGTACTTCCGGAGTAATTTATGAATTTTGTTGTGAAACGGTAGGTTGAGGGTGACACGGTATTCATTCTGCACTCTGCCACGTCGGGGGCGCATAGCTCGTTCACGAGCCGAAACTATAACTGACTCTGGGAAGTTGTTGAATTGTAGGATGTTGGTTACTTTTTCTTCACTTCTTTTAAGGGTGTCAGCATCGGAAGATAGACGGACGGCACGCAGGAACTCAGAGGAAGCAATTGCTTTCTTTTGCTGGTTGGGGACTGACGAGTTGTAGTCTGATACCAGTCCGCTGTGACATGGCTTGCGGTACAGTTCATAGGATATAGATCCATCTGGTGAGACATGGACGGTCGTGTCCATGAAATTGATTGAGCCAGTCAACTCCGTGGATTGGTGAGTGAATTTAATATTAGGATCGGCATTATTGAAGTGATCCTGGAAACTCTGCAGAAGTTCCGGACCGAGGTTCCACACAATGAAAACATCATCGATGTAGCGCTTGTACAGAACTGGGCTGGCAGGTGCACTACGCAAGAGCAAACTCTCTAGGTCATGTATGTACAGGATGGCAAAGAGGGGCGCTAGGTTATTGCCCATAGGCCATAGCCACACCATCCTTCTGGTGGTACACCTGCCCTCCAAACCGGAAGTAGTTAGAGTTCAGCACATGTGCGAGGAGCTCCTTGACCTGCAGTCAGTCAGTCAGTGCAGTGTCACGCTCACGCTGCACAGCAAGTACAGTGACACCTGTCTAACACGACTTCTCAAGGGACCTTCAAAGCGTGGTCTGTGTTACCACATGGTCTCCTTATCCAGGGTCAATTGAATGGAAATAGCACCCCTTGCCGTTGGTTCCAGGGGTCGTTTAGGACAGGTGGTCGCCTTGACAGGTTTTACTGTACTGTGGTGGCAACTGAAATCCGATCCCAGCTTCGTGCACGCACACTGCAAATGCCCAGCAAGTGGTTGTACTAGGCATATGCGGAAAATGCTGGAAAAGGTGGCAGATTCTGCTCGAAAAGCAGTGAAATTGGCAGAACCATACAAACCTTATGGCGGGCAATTCCTCGAATTCTGCTCCATTTCTTTATCCACACACCAAACATGCATGAAACGTACCAGAAAATGTACCGAATTCTGCCAATTTTTCTGCCGGCATAAGCCGCATATGCCTAGGTTGTACCATCCAGCCAATGCTGCACATGGTAGGCGTCTTTGTGGTCCACTTTCACGACAATAACACACACAGAAGTCTCTGCTGTGAGCACGGTGGCTCGGCAGTGTGGTGTTTGTGCTTCGCTTCTGTAACTTGTGTGTTTTCACAGGTGGAGGCTTGGGGCACGGAGGTGCCATATCTCGTCTTAACCTT